GGCGAATTTTAATTTAATTTTGGTGAATTAACCGAGTGTTGTGACTTATAGTGGGTTTTTTTTGGCTGGACCGATTTCGTCAAATGAGGTGTCATTCGAAAGAGCTTCGAAAACTGAGTCGAACTAGATATGGGGGAAGTCGGTCCGACAATCAGGGGCCGAGTTACAGACCCCTGAAGTTTGAAAAAGAGAAGGGGGGAGTAAGCTCAAATTGGGTTGAAAAATTCAAAAATGCAAATAATAGCTCATTCGACTCCTCTCGATGAGCTGAGTCGAATGACACCAAAATCAGCTCGACATTTTGATTTTGAGCCAAGATGAACAGGTTCAAAATGGTCACCATAAACCTATGGGGCGTAGGCGAGGCGCTTGTGCAAAACCCCGCGCTTCGCGCGGGGTTTTGCGGCACGCGCCTCGCGGGGAGTCTACGGGCGCTGGGTCTGGGTCAGTAACATAAACCTATTCCTATCTTCCTTGTTCTGGACGTACTTGGGGCCTCCGTAGCAGCAAAAACTTCCACATAGACCATAGGTAAGGAGCTAAAACGAACGATCATAACTTTGTCCAATCAAGTCGGATTTCGGTGATTTTGGTGTCATTCGACTCAGCTCATCGAGAGGAGTCGAATGAGCTATTATTTGCATTTTTGAATTTTTCATCCCAATTTGAGCTTACTCCCCCCTTCTCTTTTTCAAACTTCAGGGGTCTGTAACTCGGCCCCTGATTGTCGGACCGACTTCCCCCATATCTAGTTCGACTCAGTTTTCGAAGCTCTTTCGAATGACACCTCATTTGACGAAATCGGTCCAGCCAAAAAAACCCACTATAAGTCACAATACCCAATTAACCTACAAAAATAGAAATTTTTGTATTTTTATTTTTGATAGTTCCCTCAATTTTTATAATTCACCGAGTTTCCATGTTTGTGTTTTGGTGGGAATTGACGTCGGCAGGATTACTAATTTGTATATTATTTAATAAATACAGTCAACCCTCATTATAAGATACTCCCGTTATAAGGTACACCTCTATTTAAGAGACGTTTTTTTAATTTTTGGTAGGCTAATGAGGGGAGGAGCTTTTTAAATGATTACCTCTATTTAACGTACACCTCGTTATAAGGGACAACTCATTATAAGATACTCCCATTATGAGGTACACTTCTATTTAAGAGACGCTCTTTAAAATGTGGTTAGCCAATGGGTGGGAGGGGCTATCCAAGGGATACCCTCTATTTAATATACACCTCTTTATAAGGCACGATTTTTAAAGGCCCCAAAGGGGTACTCTATAAGGTATCACGACTTTTGCGCCGGGAACATTTGCGCCGCGACTTTTGCGCCGCGACTTATGCGCCGGGCGACTTTTGCGCCGCGACTTATGCGCCGCGACTTTTGCGCCGGGCGACTTATGCGCCGCGACTTTTGCGCCGGGCGACTTATGCGCCGCGACATTTGCGCCGCCATAATTTAAAAAAAATAATATCCACAGTCGGACCTAATTATAGTGTACTCCTTAAAAATTTGTATCCAGGAGCTGAAGGAATTTCAGGAAGTACAATATTTCGGGAAGTACAATAGCCCTCTCTAATAAACCGACCCCTTAGAGGAATGTTGAAAGATAAACCGACCCCCTAGAGGGGTATCTTCAGAGAACTTGACTTTTTCAAATCAGATATTTGGTCTGCTACCCTTATTCAGGCATGATTTTCTGCCAGAAGAGGGTGCACTATAGTGTAGGGTTCTCGGGTCCAGATATCCGGATCTGAAAAAGGCCGGATAGCCGAAAATTTTAGGTTGGATATCGGATCCGGATCTTTGATATACGAAGACACCAACTATCCTACATCTTCTATTTATAGTGAAGTCCGTCTGTAGTTTTTCGTAATTATTAATGCTAGTGGCGGCGCAAAAGTCGTCCGGCGCAAAAGTCGCGGCGCAAAAGTCGCCCGGCGCAAAAGTCGCGGCGCAAAAGTCCCCCGGCGCAAAAGTCGCTCGGCGCATAAGTCGCGGCGCAAAAGTCGCGGCGCATAAGTCGCGGCGCAAATGTTCTCGGCGCAAAAGTCACGGAACCCTCTATAATGAGAGTTTGTTCGTTTTAAATTTAGAAATTAAATTTATTAATTAATTTTAAATTGAAGAAAATGACTCGATAAAGTAAGAATATATGCAGAAAGGCAAAATAAAAATCGAAGTTTATGCGTAAAGATTGGGAGAGCAAAAATATTCGTAATCAAAAATTTTGATTAATAATGGGCGTTAATTAATTTAAAAACCAGTTAATTGACTATATTTTATGTTCGGAAAATTGAAAAAGAAAAAAATAATTTTTAAATTGTAAAATAAAAAAATAAAGGCATAAGAAGTCTCATTTGGTCAAGTCCCTAAATTCATTCAACTGATTCAACTCAACTCAACTCGGGAGACAAATCAGACTGGATATAATACTCCTATTAAAATTTTTTTTAATAAATCGATATATTCAAACTCGAGAAAGTCTGTAAATTTGTCCGCAACTCCAGAAAATACGCAAATTTTGTCCGCAATCCAAAAAATGTCTGCAAAATTTTTGCGGACATTTTTTTCTAACGCAATATTTTTGCGGACTTTAGTCACTCCACAAAATTTTTGCTGCAAATTTTTTCCTGATCGCAAAATCTTTGCGTACATTTTTTGTTATTTTTCTATTTATCCAATTAAATTTCTATATAATATTAGAAAAAAAAATATAAAAAAATTATTCTTCAATTTTCTATCCAGTTCCAGGAGCTCCAGGAGTAAATATTAAATTTAAAGGAATGTGAGCAAGAGTTGCTGGTGGTCTATGATGTGCTGCAGGAGCCCTCAATTGACCGAAAGGCTTTCTAGATAAAAAGGAAAATTAACTTTTAGAAGTCTGAGTCAATCAGCTATAAGATACACCCCTGGACCGAAAAAACGTGCCTTATAATGAGGTGTCCATTAAATAGGGTGTATCGCACCTCTCCTATCCAGTGGCCAACCAATAATTTTGAAGAGCGTATCTTAGATAGAATTGTCTCTTAAATAGAGGTGTATCCAATATTGGGGGTATCTTATAATGAGGTTTTACAGTAATAAGTACCTAGAAAAGGCTAAAGGCAAATTTCTTCCCTTTACTCCAAAATTCCGTTGAACTGGTGCATTTGTAAAGGGACGCCCACGAGGAGGGGCTCTAAGTGGAAAGGGTCTAGATAGATTGGGTCTGGGCCTGGGAAAGGTTCGAGAAGGATGTGCTGGAAGTAGAGGTCTTGCTGGAAGTGTAGGCCTTCCAAAGCGTGCATTAACTGACAAATCGGTTGACCAGTCGTTAATTAAAAAGAAAACAATTATTAAAAAAATGTGTTGAACATTAATAATAAAATAATACATTGTCCTGAATTAATTAATAATTTAATACAGTTGAACCTCGTCTCCCCAATCTTATATTTAAAATATGTTTTCTTGAAAGTTGGTTGGCCGCTGGTGTGGGAGATTATAAGTCCCCAAATGTTGGTCTCATTATAATTGGGGTCTCAGTATAAGAAACAAGAAGCGCCTTCTAAATTCTGGTTGTCTTATTAGTGGGGGAGGCTGCCTAATCGACGCTCACTAATTAAGATACGCCTCATTTAAGATACATCTTATTATAAGGTGACATTTTCAGCCCCAAGGGTGTAACGTACAACGAGGTTCGACTGTATTTTTTAACTAAATATATGTATATTTTTATTTAGACCACATATGTAAGTAGACTTTTAAATAAATGTTTTTAGTAGATATGAACACGTTCCATTTAAATTTTTTGTTTTTATAAATTGCCCTTTTTCTATTTTATTCTTTTAATTTAACGAATTGACAGAAAAGGTGAACGTTTTTGGTTTAATTTAAAGGTGAAAATTGTTTTCTTTACTGAATAAAAAAAGTAACTAGATGAGATTGAGAAAACAATCAAAATCAATAAAAAATTTCTATTTGGATTTAATTAAAAATTCAAGAGGAAAAGTAGTTATTTTGAGGGTAGGAGGCAATTCAGTCTCAAGCCCATATTTTGGGCCATAAGTTTTTTCATTCTTAACCGATTTAAATAATTATTGTATCATTAGAAAGCTCTGGATGTGGAGATTATTTTAGCTGACAGAATTGATTTGATCAGACCATCCTACAAAAAGTTACATCTGGATAAGTGTGCGTAATCGTGATTTTTGACCTTTGATAGTCTATAAATTTTAAGGAGTCGTTTGAGTAGATCGATCCAGTAAGAAAAATAAACTTTAGTTCAAGAGTTATCGATCAGTAAAAGGATTAGTCAGATCGCAGAAAAATAAAAAAAGTTATGGGCCGGAAAAGAGCCCCAGGTTGAAACAACGAGTTTGAATTATTAAATTTAATCATTTTTTATTTATTTTGGCATTGTGTTTTTATGTCAAATTATCCTGCGCTCAACCGTCTTGGCTTCGGTTGAGGGCACGGCGCACGGCCAACGTTAAGCCATAACTCGGCCAACGTTAAGCCATAACTCGGCCAACGTTAAGCCATAACTTGCTGGAAAATTTTTGGCCCTTATCAAATTTGGTACCAATCTCTTTGGCTCGATGAGAGGAATCGTTTATTACTAAATTTGTTAAAATTCGGAAATCTTGCAGCAAGATATAGATTTGTGTTGTTATACGCCGTGTGTTGTTTTGGACGTGTTCCCTCTAATCTTTATCATGGGTACAGCTCAAAACGGCGCGCGGCCATAACGGCGCAAAGCCATAACTTCCTGGAAAATGTCTGGCCCTGTTCACTTTGTACCAATCTCCTTAGCTCGATCTGAGGAATCGTTTGATACTAAATACGGTACGATTCGGAAATCTTGAAGCAAGTTATGGCTTTGCGCCGTTATGGCCTCGCGCCGTTTTGGGCGTGTTCCTTCTAATCTTTATATTACAGTAAATATTTTTAAAATTTCAGTAATATTCCTAATATATTTTATTCATATTTCCTAATTAGCGTCCCTAAATGGCGATGTTTGCTTCAATTGGCAATGTTTGCGACAGACCAATCCATTACGGTAGAAGATCTACAGTGTACATTTCAAAACACGAGTCAGAATGTTTTGCCCTCAAAGCTTCGTCTGAATATGCTTGGAAGAGGGAGGTTATTCAATTAAACTTTTATTCAAATAAATTAATTTAAGATGGAGGTCTATCGTACTCTACAATCTGTTCCTGGCAACAAATTCACTCGTATACAAGAATTACTCGGCTCTGGCGAACTCCCAGTTTTCTTCAAAAGTCATAATACTCTACATAAATTCTACATTATGACGAGGTTTTTTGAACTTAAAAACTTTTGAATTTAGTCTTTTTAAGATATAATAATCTGAGAGATGTCAAAATGTGGCTTACAAATATACCTGGATTGTCTGAGGCAATGAGGTTTAAAGCTGCTCGTGAAGTACGGTTTAATATTTATAAAGATATCAGTTTTTATAAAATGGTCAGGTCTCAAAATGGTCAAATGTTTAGTTTATTTATGGTTGGTCTCTCAGGGCCTTTTGTCCAATTGACCATTTTGGTCCTTGACCATTTTTGCTTAGAACAAGATGAAACCACACATGTCCGCAAATGATTGTCCGCAATTTTTATTTCTTCTTTCTCATTCCTTCCACTCACCATTATTAATCATTGACCATTTCTAATCTATCAGAAGAAAGTAGGTAGGAGGAGGAATAAATAAAAATTGTGGACAATCATTTGCGGAAATGTGGGGAGATAAACGCTTAAAATAAAAACAAATTTTCCCATTTCTAGACTCTCCTTGCCTTGAAGGAACTTCATCAACTTGGCTTTGTCTCAAGGGATGTCAAATTGGAAAACTTTGGAGTTCACATAACTAAGGATCATCATCTGAAATTCTACATCTACGACTTTGAACTGTCTCAAAAATACAAGGATGTTGAAACGGGCAAACCAACTGTTCAAAAAATACGCGGTTCAAAGGGTGATGGTACAACAGAATCTGCCCCTTTGGTTCAAATGACTGGATCTAGGGTTTTTTTAAAGATTTTGAAAAAAAATTTTTTTTGAAAATTTAAGCGGACATTTCCTGTTGACGATGTTGAAGGTTTAAAAATTGACATTTTTAATATAAAACTAGATTATTTTTTAGGATGGTTTTACTGCTTGTATCACATTTTATGTGACTCGATTCCGTGGGATACTAGATGGCCGCAACCGGAATTCCGTGGATCTACTTATGCGACGCCGTATTCGGATATTCGGTATTTTTTGAATTTTGGTAGTCGGGCCTCGCTCTAAGAAGGTTTTTGTAGATTCTCGGGGCCAATACGCGTGAGCTTCTCTAACACGTGGCCCCCCATGAGCCTCCATTATGCCAAACGAATGCCAAGCCCTAAAAGCTTCCAAAATACCAAACTGTGTTTTAGTTTGATTTGGCATCCTTTACTTGTTTTCTAAATTAGGGTTGGATTTTTTGAACCGGGCCGACGTTCGAGTCATTTTCGGACCAAAATTCGATGCCCGATTCGATCTGTCTAACCGAACCGGGCCCCCAACCCTAATCCGAATATCTATGGGAGTATGTATGAGGGGGCGCATAGTTCGAGAAGACTTAACTATCTGAAAATATATTTATTTTTCTAAGTTATACTAAACAACAAATGCATAAAACTGGAAGAATTTATTGGTAAGTTTATTTACTTGAAATTTCTAGGAATTCCCTTTATTTCAGTGCAAAGAAATATGATTGTCTAATGAGTGCTGTCTTCAATGTGATTCTCAAATGGTCGAAAACGCCAGAAGTGGTAGAGGCGCGTTTCTATGATGAGGTTTTTTTGTTTTATGCGATTTATGGGGATTTTCAAGTTTAAGGGCCCAAATTTTCATTTTGGGATATCCGCCCAGGTCGGGGTTTAATTTATGCAGTTGGACTTTCTAACGTGTCAGGCCAGATAGCTAAAACCTCTGGGAATCTTAAGTGTTTGCTCCACACAAATAATTAGTTGTTTGGCCCCCAAATCGATGGGGTTTCGTTTTCCATATAAATCATCCAAAAATTTAGAATTAAGTCCGTAGTTAAGTCCGTAGTCCGACATCCATCAAAATGTCGGATTCTCTCTTAATTTGTCTTAACCTTTTTAATTTAAATTTGCCCGCTAAAAAATAGATTTCAGATATGCTCAATTTTGAAGAAAGGAGTGCACAACTGTGGTAAAACTGAATTGATGGATTGCAACATTCACTGCATGAAGCATTATAAGAAGCATCAACGTCATGACGCTTAACAGTTTTATTAAAATATATATATTTCCTAACATTTATTTACTATATTTATTTCACATCCATTCCTTTACCCCTATTATTTCTGTTATTTTTAGCCCGGTCAAGAATTTGGATTCGTCATATGTTTCGCATGATCTTCAAAATAAGTTTCTCTGTTGTTATTCCGTGTGAGCTTTTCTATTCTCATTTAGTATTTTTGTTCTGAATAAATATGTTTATTTCTGTTATAATTTTCAAAGGTGGTCTTAACAATTTTCTTAGGCTAAGAATTTTCCTATCCAATAAAAAAATGTTTTAAAAGAACTCCTTAACCTTTTTTGAATCGACTGAGATTGGAAGGTAGACGAAAGATAAATTAGAAATCATCTAATTTTGGGGTGAAAAATTCCAATATTGAAAGAGAGGAAACCAAATATTACGTCGTTGGCATCTGGTTTTTTGATTTATGTATGTGCGAGGTGTCAGATATAATCTAAATCGAGAGCACAAGAATAAGTATCTATAATAGAAATACTATGAAGGAAAAAAAGGTGCTAAAAAGGGTTTTGTGGGGGCGACTCTAGGGAGTCAAAAGAACAGTTACAGGTTCTGAATGCCCTAACAAAATAAACCCATTCCTTTACCACGATTTCTGACCATTTTGTAGATGGTCAGACCATTCTGTAGATCAGCCTTAAACAAAATTGATTGGAGGGGGCTAAAGTGATTGGCCCACAATTAAACAAAAATATTGCACTGATAAATATGTAGATATGTATGCTATTAATTATTAAATCAAATTATTAAAAAATACTTAAAATAATTAAATCATTAAAAGATTTATTTTCCAAACATTAAGAAAAAGGATTATAAAGTTGAGAAATACATATATGAATTGAAGTAAATGCATAAGTTATATAAAACGTTCTTATCTTCACCACAATATTTCTTTAACTGCCAGTTTTGATATCCTGCCATTATTTTGGAAGTCACCATGGACGGTCATCGTGGTTGACCTTTAAAATTATATGTAGAATTAATATATTTATAATAATTATTATTCCTAGATAAGACTAGCCTTACTAGATTCGTCGTTTTCTTTAAAAATGTCTTTTTTGCAATCTACGGTCTCTATTTTCACGTCTAGTGGCATCTCTTCTCTTCGTTTTCTTTCAAAAATGTCTTTTTTGCCATCTATTGTCCCGCTTTTCACGTCTAGTGTAAAAAAATAAGAATAAGAAAATACTAAGAAAAAAATAAGAAAAGAAAAACCAGCTCTGTTCAGTCTTGATGCTTACTAACCAGGTCAGCCTTGATTACTTCGATTGATTTAAGTCGTAGAGCGGAAGTTCCACCAGTTGATCAGGAATTTGCATGAGAAGCGGTGCTCCAGGCTGTCTAAAAAGAGTGAAATTTAAAAGACAAGAAAAAGAAAATTGAAGTAAAAAAGAGTAATAAAAGTTTTTTAACAAACACAAAATAGATAAAAGACAAAAAGTGAATAAATGAGTGAATTAAAATATTAAAAATCAATGGATTAACAAAAAATATTAACTATGACAAAAAAGAAACAATTTTCACTAAAATAAATTTAATCCAAGAAAACACTTGGTAAATAACTTGGTAAAAACATAAGGTAAATTAAAAAAATAAAAAAATAATTTGACTATTAAATTTAGTTTTTAATCTAATCTTTTCCAATACTAAATAGATTTATTATCACATAGAATTTCATTTGACTGTTATGTACCCAGCACGCAGTGGAAGCGTGCTGTGCCACCCAGAGGTGATGGATCAAACCATCCGGTGTTACCAGTAATGTTGGAAGGTGTTGGAGCAGAGGGATGTTTGTGCGTGGCCAGCGGACTTACCAACTAATAAGAATACCCTCTTTTCACGTCTAGTGGCAACTTTTCTCTTCGTTTTCCTTAAAAAATGTCTTTTTTACAATCTATGGTCCCTCTTTTCACGTCTAGTGGCAACTTTTCTCTTCGTTTCCCTTCAAAAATGTCTTTTTTACAATCTATGGTCCCTCTTTTCACGTCTAGTGGCAACTTTTCTCTTCGTTTTCCTTCAAAAATGTCTTTTTTACAATCTATGGTCCCTCTTTTCATGTCTAGTGGCAACTTTTCTCTTCGTTTTCCTTCAAAAATGTCTTTTTTACAATCTATGGTCCCTCTTTTCACGTCTAGTGGCAACTTTTCTCTTCGTTTCCCTTCAAAAATGTCTTTTTTACAATCTATGGTCCCTCTTTTCACGTCTAGTGGCAACTTTTCTCTTCGTTTTCCTTCAAAAATGTCTTTTTTACAATCTATGGTCCCTCTTTTCACGTCTAGTGGCAACTTTTCTCTTCGTTTTCCTTCAAAAATGTCTTTTTTACAATCTATGGTCCCTCTTTTCACGTCTAGTGGCAACTTTTCTCTTCGTTTCCCTTCAAAAATGTCTTTTTTACAATCTATGGTCCCTCTTTTCACGTCTAGTGGCAACTTTTCTCTTCGTTTTCCTTCAAAAATGTCTTTTTTACAATCTATGGTCCCTCTTTTCACGTCTAGTGGCAACTTTTCTCTTCGTTTTCCTTCAAAAATGTCTTTTTTACAATCTATGGTCCCTCTTTTCACGTCTAGTGGCAACTTTTCTCTTCGTTTCCCTTCAAAAATGTCTTTTTTACAATCTATGGTCCCTCTTTTCACGTCTAGTGGCAACTTTTCTCTTCGTTTTCCTTCAAAAATGTCTTTTTTACAATCTATGGTCCCTCTTTTCACGTCTAGTGGCAACTTTTCTCTTCGTTTCCCTTCAAAAATGTCTTTTTTACAATCTATGGTCCCTCTTTTCACGTCTAGTGGCAACTTTTCTCTTCGTTTCCCTTCAAAAATGTCTTTTTTACAATCTATGGTCCCTCTTTTCACGTCTATTGGCAACTTTTCTCTTCGTTTCCGTTCAAAAATGTCTTTTTTACAATCTATGGTCCCTCTTTTCACGTCTAGTGGCAACTTTTCTCTTCGTTTTCCTTAAAAAATGTCTTTTTTACAATCTATGGTCCCTCTTTTCACGTCTAGTGGCAACTTTTCTCTTCGTTTCCCTTCAAAAATGTCTTTTTTACAATCTATGGTCCCTCTTTTCACGTTTAGTGGCAACTTTTCTCTTCGTTTTCCTTAAAAAATGTCTTTTTTACAATCTATGTTCCCTCTTTTCATGTCTAGTGGCAACTTTTCTCTTCGTTTCCCTTCAAAAATGTCTTTTACAATCTATGTTCCTCTTTTCACGTCTAGTGGCAACTTTTCTCTTCGTTTTCCTTCAAAAATGTCTTTTTTACAATCTATGGTCCTCTTTTCACGTCTAGTGGCAACTTTTCTCTTCGTTTCCCTTCAAAAATGTCTTTTTTACAATCTATGGTCCCTCTTTTCACGTCTAGTGGCAACTTTTCTCTTCGTTTTCCTTCAAAAATGTCTTTTTTACAATCTATGGTCCCTCTTTTCACGTCTAGTGGCAACTTTTCTCTTCGTTTTCCTTAAAAAATGTCTTTTTTACAATCTATGGTCCCTCTTTTCACGTCTAGTGGCAACTTTTCTCTTCGTTTTCCTTCAAAAATGTCTTTTTTACAATCTATGGTCCCTATTTTCACGTCTAGTGGCAACTTTTCTCTTCGTTTTCCTTCAAAAATGTCTTTTTTACAATCTATGGTCCCTCTTTTCACGTCTAGTGGCAACTTTTCTCTTCGTTTTCCTTAAAAATGTCTTTTTTACAATCTATGTTCCCTCTTTTCACGTCTAGTGGCAACTTTTCTCTTCGTTTCCCTTCAAAAATGTCTTTTTTACAATCTATGGTCCCTCTTTTCACGTCTAGTGGCAACTTTTCTCTTCGTTTTCCTTCAAAAATGTCTTTTTTGCAATCTATGGTCCCGCTTTTCACGTCTAGCAGCATCTCGTCTCTTCGTTTTCTTTCAAAAATGTCTTTTTTGCAATCTATGGTACCGCTTTTCACGTCTTGCAGCATCTCTTCTCTTCGTTTTCTTCTAAACTAATTTGTTAAAAAGCCACTATATAAGCCCAAATTCTTCTTCAAATTTACTCTTCTTTCGTCACTAAATCTATTCGATCTTACTAATATGCGTGATAGAGCAGGTCAGCAGCGTAGGCGTTCCCAGTCTCCACTTCGCAGTGGATTTGAAATCGTCGAACAGGTCCGAGTTTCGCCGAAAAGCCTTCTGTTTGACCATCAAGGTGGATATGACATGTTTGTTCTTGCCAACGACAGTAATAAGGTATTTTTCCATACTTTAGTTCTATTCAATTGAATACTTGTATTGTTTTAGGTGCGTTATGCCTTCAAGCTAATGTCAACGGATAATGAGCACTTTAAGTTCTCACCCATTACGGGGTTTCTGGCTGGAAGATCCGCTGCTAGGATTCATGTGCTACGCGAGGTAACGCTAACTCTTGTAATCTAGCCGGTTTAATATCCATTTTTATTTTAGCGGGGGCCTCAAGCATCCGGTGATAGATGTGACATATTGTTTAGACGTGTGGATAAGAACATGAAGGATCCAGCTGCAGCGTTCATTGGAAATACTGCTCCCGATTGTATTCTTCAAGTTCAATTATTGACTCGTTAGCGAACTTCTGATGCACTAAATATTAGGATTAACAAATTTTCTCTAAAAAAATTAATTTCCTTAAAGAACTTACTTTTCAAGTTTTGTCTATTCCCTTCGGTTTTTTAAAAAATATGTATCTCTTGTATATAGTCCAATGCAATATATGTGCTTTTAATCAATTCTTTGTTGTTTATAAGTTCTTTTTTGTAATCACTTCTCTGCTGTTAAAACATTTAAATAAATGTTAAAATGCAGTTTGTTTCATTCTTAGTTTTTTCATTTACCTTCTTTTTCTTTAAAATATTTTCATAGTCGCATTTTGCGGCTCTACTTTTCACTAACTTCCATCTTCCTTCAGAGGCACAAACACTGAAAAGTGGGCGTGTCAGAAAGGCTTACCTAAACCATACATATGTAATTAATAAGGCTGGAAAAAACATTCAAACTTGGTAGTTAGAGTTCTTTTCCTTTTCTCTTTCCAATAAGAGAAAAATAAATGACGCTGAAAATACATAAATGCCTGGGGATACAATATTATAAATGAAAGGAAAAGAAGAGGAACTCAAACTCCCAATTTTGCATGTTTCCCAGCCCTAGTAATTTACATATAAGCTCCAAGCCTAGTTCTTATTTTCTTGCACTCTTTGTTCTGATTCAAAACAATTAATTTGTTATGATTCATGTTATGGGAATTTACTGCACCATTGCTAATTTATTCGTTACTAGAATGCGGCATGGGATAACATAGTACTATAGTACTGTTATTTGTTATATTGTTGCTCTTTAATTAATTTATCATTTATTCAAACTTTATACATAACCTCCTCTTATTAATTCTGATTTTCTAATGAGTTCTGATTTTATTTCTGATTTATTCTGATTTTTAATTCTGATTTTTCAATGAGTTCTGATCTTGTTTCTGATTTATTCTGATTTTTAATTCTGATTTTTCAATGAGTTCTGATCTTGTTTCTGATTTATTCTGATTTTTAATTCTGATTTTTCAATGAGTTCTGATCTCGTTTCTGATTTATTCTGATTTTTAATTCTGATTTTTCAATGAGTTCTGATCTTGTTTCTGATTTATTCTGATTTTTAATTCTGATTTTTCAATGAGTTCTGATCTTGTTTCTGATTTATTCTGATTTTTAATTCTGATTTTTCAATGAGTTCTGATCTTGTTTCTGATTTATTCTGATTTTTAATTCTGATTTTTCAATGAGTTCTGATCTTGTTTCTGATTTATTCTGATTTTTAATTCTGATTTTCCATTGAGTTCTGATCTTGTTTCTGATTTATTCTGATTTTTAATTCTGATTTTTCAATGAGTTCTGATCTTGTTTCTGATTTATTCTGATTTTTAATTCTGATTTTCCATTGAGTTCTGATCTAGTTTCTGACTTGTCCGGGATCGTGTTCTGAAATACCTGTTTTCAGCGACAAACGCGAGTACATGGATTTATTGATTTATTGATCATGCGTGATCTTCAGATTTTACCACACTACGCATTTCTATAAATTTATTTTGCTTTCTAACTGAATATTTATTTTTTTAGAATATTGATTCAAAATTGTTTAAAAACTAATGAGCTTGACTAAAAAGCGAGGTTTTGACGATTCTTTTCAATCTGATGATAGACGACTAGCTAAACGATCGTTAATTATGCCAGAAGGTTTAAATTTTTTAATTTTATTTCTTATATAAATTTTAGTTGCTGGCAAAATAACTTGCATCGAATTGGTCAATTTTATGTGTCATTCGAGCCTGACAGTATTTTTAAAATTTTTAAATTAACTTAATTTACTTGTTTTTAGCTTAATTTTGATGTCAATAAGTACAATTGCTCTTATATAATTGGCCCAAATGGGAGTGGAAAGAGTGCATTGTTTGCTGCCTTAAATATTGGACTTGGAGGAGCTGGTCGTTCAAACGAGAGAGGAAAACGGATTAATGATTATATTAAAGAGAATGAAAAGTGAGGTTTATTTATTTTATTATTAAGTGAATTTGGGATAATGGGAGTATTATTTTGTGAGGATAAATTATTTAATTCTGATTTTCCCATGGGTTTTGATCTTGTTTCTGATTTATTCTGATTTTTAATTATGATTTTCCAATGAGTTCTGATTTTATTTCTGACTTGTTCTGATTTTTATTTCTGATTTTCTAATGAGTTTTGATTTTATTTCTGACTTGTTCTGATTTTACTTTCTGATTTTCCAATGAATTCTGACTTTTTCTGATTTTAATTCTGATTTTCTAATGAGTTTCTGATTTTAATTCTGACTTTTTCTGATTTTAATTCTGATTTTCTAATGAGTTTCTGATTTTAATTCTGACTTTTTCTGATTTTAATTCTGATTTTCTAATGAGTTTCTGATTTTAATTCTGACTTTTTCTGATTTTAATTCTGATTTTCTAATGAGTTTCTGATTTTAATTCTGACTTTTTCTGATTTTAATTCTGATTTTCTAATGAGTTTCTGATTTTAATTCTGACTTTTTCTGATTTTAATTCTGATTTTCTAATGAGTTTCTGATTTTAATTCTGACTTTTTCTGATTTTAATTCTGATTTTTGAATGAGTTTCTGATTTTAATTCTGACTTTTTCTGATTTTAATTCTGATTTTCTAATGAGTTTCTGATTTTAATTCTGACTTTTTCTGATTTTAATTCTGATTTTCTAATGAGTTTCTGATTTTAATTCTGACTTTTTCTGATTTTAATTCTGATTTTCTAATGAGTTTCTGATTTTAATTCTGACTTTTTCTGATTTTAATTCTGATTTTTTAATGAGTTTCTGATTTTAATTCTGACTTTTTCTGATTTTAATTCTGATTTTCTAATGAGTTTCTGATTTTAATTCTGACTTTTTCTGATTTTAATTCTGATTTTCTAATGAGTTTCTGATTTTAATTCTGACTTTTTCTGATTTTAATTCTGATTTTCTAATGAGTTTCTGATTTTAATTCTGACTTTTTCTGATTTTAATTCTGATTTTTTAATGAGTTTCTGATTTTAATTCTGACTTTTTCTGATCATATTTATCTACAGATGCGGATAGTTTTTCTGAACTCATATTCATACCCTAAAGAAATCCGGCACTTGTGCATACTTTTCCCCTCTTTTCTTGACATATTTATTGATTTTTATTTAAGTTATTCATTAATCCGTATTCACATTTCAAACGAAGGCCCAAACAGCATACCTGATTACGGCGACATTATAATTGTTGAACGACGTATTACACATAAAATTTCAACTGTCACAATCAAAACTCGTTTAAATGAAGGAAAAGAGGAAATTGTTGGGAAAAGAAGAGAACTTGATTTAATACTTCAACAATTTAACATTGATTTGGAAAATCCGCTTTCTTGGCTGTCTCAAGATAGAGCACGACAGTTTCTGCAGTCAATGAAGCCACAGAGACTTTACGAGGTTAACAATTTTTTTCTAAATTTCGTCTAGTTTATGCTTTTGGGGGTTTAAGGTTATTTTCTGGGTTCCTTAACGATTCTTGAGTTGGGAATTTATAACTAGTTGGGCTGGCCAGAGATGGTTCTTTTGACTTTGTTATCATTTTTAGGGAGTCTGATAGGTTTTCTGAAATTTTTAAAAGTGATGGCGGTGTGATGATGATGCAGTTCTCAAGCTCAACTAGACATCACTGATTGACCGTGGTATCTGAAGCCTATCCCAAACCTATCCTTAAATCCAAGGGAAATCCAAAACTTTATGGAACTCATAAACTGAACTAGAGCTTATTCCTTTCAATTAAAAAATTCCTACTTTTTTAAGTTATACAAAAAAAGCTCAGAAATGGACGGTGCTGAAGATTTATTTCGAAATATCGACACTCTCTTTGACGAATTAACTAGAGTTGTTAAATCTATGGATAAAGAAAAGACTGCAAAAGAAGCAAAATATCAACAAATGAAAGCGCGTTTTGATGCTGTAAATCAACTTTCAAACAAAAAAGAAGCAATTCAACGACTTTATTGGTATCAACTTTGGGCGCCTGTTCGAGATGGAAAAAATGTTTATTTTTTTTAATTTTAAAGGCTTATTTCTAAATTTTTAAAATTATAGGAAATCGAGGAACTTGGAAGAAAACTTAAAGTTAATGAGGACAAGAAGAATGAACAGGTGGCTAAAAAGGATGAATTAATTGTATATATTTTTTTTTAATTAGAATTAATTAGGGAGAAGGTTAAAGTCTAGCCCCAGGCAGGTATCGATCCTGCAACCTTCTGGCAGTTATTGCTTCTCCTTTTCACTCACCATTAGGGTTTCGGTTCCTGAGAAATCTCCAAATATACGGAACTGATATCTGATCCGGACTTTTTTCGCTTTTGGATATCTGGAATTGCCTAGTAGAGTTCGTTTTTTGTAAAAAGCGCCTGTGCCTGTTCTTGTGAAGAATTCTGGGCCTGTGGTCTAGGAAAACCCAGGAAGATAAAGAAAATGCCTGGATTTTGGGTACAGGAAAAACCCAGAACTTGGTCCAGACCCAGGCCGATCTCTATTGCTTACCATCTTACATAGTACTACTTACATAGTGGCGCTACTCCTCTTTTATGATATTAAATCTTAAACTCCCGACTAGTAAGCATTTTAAATGCTTGTTTGCTAGATATGTTCTTACAATTATTTTTTTAATTTTTAGAAGCAAATTGGGGATATTAACAAACAGCAAAAAAATTTTGAAGAACAACTCGGTGCTGCTTCCTCGAAATTTAGAGAACATAACGAAAAGTTGAATGAACTTAAAAGGAAGGCTAGAGAATTAAATTTTGATCATCATGACTTGGTCGATAAAGTAAAACGGAAGCAATGGAATATTGATTTATATGAGAGGCAATTACAAAAAGCAAATAGGGAACTGAAGGATTTGGTTGGAAGGTTGAATTAAAAATATTTTTATTAAATTAAAGAAAAATTCCAAAATTTTTTTTCTGTGGGCATAATAGAAGTTTGGGTTTTCCATTGGGAAGCGATTTTTGGCTTCATTTTCACATGGGAAAAAATCCATAATTCATAGTCTTTTGAGCGACTATCGAGATATTTTTATTTTTTCCTCGTCCTCTCCTAATCATTTTTTTTCACTAACTCTTAATAAATTTTTTTTAGTTCTGGTCATGATCCTGAAACTGAAAAGAATAAATTAAAAGAAAAATTGACTCAAATAGCTGCTCAAATGGAGGCTGCCGAGTCGGAACAAGAATCTTTTACTAAT